GAGGAGGCGGGGGCGGCAGGACGGGGGGCGGGGGCGGCCACCTGGCCCGGACCACCCCGGCCCGCCGCGCAGTCAACAAAGTGGTGTACGATGACCACGAGAGCGACGAGGACGACGACGACGAGGAGGAGGACATGGTATCGGAGGAGGACGAAGAGGAGGAGGAAGAGGACGGCGACGCCGAGGAGACCCAGGATTCGGAGGACGACGAGGAAGATGACATGGACGAGGACGACGATGACTCCGATTATCCGGAGGAGATGGAGGACGACGACGACGACGCCAGCTACTGCACGGAAAGCAGCTTCAGGAGCCATAGCACCTACAGCAGCACTCCAGGTACCACCCAGGCAGCCCGGAGACTCCTTCCCCACCTCCTCCCCTCCCCTCGCCGCTCGCTCCCTCTCGAGTGCGGTGCATCCTGCTTCCCGTCTCCCCCCACACCCCGGCCTGTCCCCCACTCGGGGGAAACGGGACGGCACGTCTAGTGACCGAGAAAGAGAACCACGACACAACAAAACTAGGTTTGCAACAGGAAAGAGGCGCATTGTTCAAAATGGAGATTGCATTGTTGCAGTTTGCAGGCCACACACTCGTTCGCTCTCTTGTCTCCCCCCTCCCTCTTTTCCTCTTCCAAATGTGTGCCAAGTGCGGTGTCTCCGTCAGACAGGATCGAAAGTTTGGCACACCCGTATCCATTGCGTTCATTTTCCTCCCGTTGTTTTGCTGTATTTCTTTATTTTTTCCCCTTTTTGGGGGAATGAAATAAGGCTCTTGTTATGCAGACCCCTTTGAATTTCTAATACGGTTTCCTGCAGATTAAAAATTATCTGTTCCTTAAAAGGGAGTAAGGATTGAGACCGGTCGAGGCACCTAAATACGCACAGACGCGTTTCCTTTGCCACCTCTAGTTGTGCAGAAAAACTGTTCAGGAGGAAGCGTTGTTGGGTTAGTAGGGGAACCTTATCTGGTCCTGTGCAGTTTGTTTGTGTTCCTCCGCTCGCTCGGGAGGCGCGTGCAACAGTTGCTGGTAAATGGCTGATGTAAAGCAAAGCAGAAAACCAAACCAAACCAAATTTGGCAGCCCATCCGATTCAAAATCACTTTGGCTAAATCCTCAATAAAAGTAGGAAGCCACAGGGACGTGCGTCCTAACGAGTTTGATCTTGGCTTTGCTTGGGAGATGCAGTTTCGAGGCACCTGTTGCGGAAGGTGGGTAGTTGATCATCCAGGCGGAATTGCTGAAGATGAACTTTTTGAAGTTACAGGGTAGACGTGTCAACCTGATTGCAATATGCCTTTTACTTTTCATTCTATTTCTGAGGAAAAAGTCCTCCCTGGATCTGAGATGCATTTCTCCATGGTGACTTTTCTCTTGTTTTCTCACTCAGTGTGGTACATTTTGTTTAAGAAGAGACATGCACACAGTTGCTGCTTTGTATTAATGCATCGTTGTAAAAAAAAATTATAGCCTGTCAGGCTTAACCTGGATTAGCAAAATTAAAATCCAATTGTAAGAGCCTTTCTAAAGTAAAGTTAATGAGGAAGTACAAGGATCTTAAGAGAGCTTGCCATGTCATTTTCAGAGAGAATAAGGTGTAGAAATGGTTAAATTTCCATTTTTATAATTCCTTAAATTTTTATTGGGAGAATATGAAAGAATGGAAATTAAGCCCGATCTAAACCCATTTAGATTGTGTTAGCATCAGGTGAGAAAAGGTAATGTTTTCTGCTTGCCTGTAAGAATAGTTGGTTGCCTAGTTTATGGATGAGGACGGGCATCAAGGGGAGCCGCTGGGGTCGGGGACGAGTGTGGTAGGCACTACAGGCAAGTTTTCATTTTTGTCCTTGTTCAGCACTTTTTCTTTTTCTATTTGAGACAGCGTCTCCCTGCAGCCCCAGTTGTCCTGGAACTCACTATGTAGACTAGGCTAGCCTTGAACTCACAGAGACCTGCCTGCCTCTGCCTCCCAAGTGCTGGGACTAAAGGCATGCGCCACCACACCCAGCTTCAGCACATCGTTTATAGTAATGGTTTTCACCTTAAGAAATCAATTGTTGGGCCTCTTTGTACCCTGAGCCCAGAATTGAACTTGAAGTCCAACATACACTAGTGGAGGAAGTTTTTTCAAGTGTGAACTGAGGCTTTTGGGCAGGGCAGTTCAGTTTAACTCCTACTTGAAGCCCTAACAAATAGTATTGATGAATTGATGGCTCTGTATAGGTTGAATTAAATTACCACGTGTTGGTAGGGACGCTTTTTATTTGTTTGTTTGTTTATTTGAGACCAGGTGTCTCTGTAGCCCCAGCTGGCCTGGAACCAGCTATTAGATCATCTCAGGCTGGCCACCTGATTGTTGGGATTAAAGGCGTGCACCACCACACTTGGCTAGGACTCCTTTTTTTAAGCATCCTCACATAAAATGTGTGTTTATGGTCATTTCTCCCTATGACGCGTGTAGCCACCTGATGATACTTTTGTTCTAATTTATATGAACTAAATAATTTTAGGAATAAGTTTTGATATTAGACACCTTGCAGCTCTTAACACTGTTGGTTGCACAATGTACATCATATAACCATTGAAGAGGGGCATTATTAAAGTCATAAACTGGCCTTGAACTTGTGATCTTTCTACCTCAGTCTTCCCAGTGCTGGGATTACAGGTATACACCACCACATCCAGCCAGAAAATGCATTTTAAATAGGCATTTGGTAGAGTTCTCATAACACTTTGAAATTAAGCATTTTCCAATTTAAAAAAAAAGAGATCTAAGTTAAATGCTTGAAACAAAATGGTTCTTGGATGACACTTCTGGGAATACTTACCTATATGTTTTAAAATTTGGAAACTTTGGTGACTTCAAAACAAAATTCTGGTATCCTGGGAGACTTAATGATTTCTGTCTCCAAGGATTATGACAGTAGAGATCAGTGACAGAGATGTCCTGAATGAACTGTTGATTCCCCCAGAAACAGCTTGTTATTCTTGTGGCAGTCAGTATTCCCATGAGTGTCAACCCAGTATCTTTTCAGTGTACAGAGAATTGCTACAAGTGAGGTACAAAGTGCAGATTTAAAGGAAGGCAGTATCTTATGTCCTAGGTCTGTGATAGTAAATAGGCTTGTGTGCCATGCATGCTTGCCAGCTCCTGGTGCCTACCCGCAGGCGTATTTGGGAATATGGCTGTATGCTTAAGGCCAGGAGCTCTAGTCTCTGGTTAGGGCCTCCTTTTCTCACCCTTGACAACAGACTCTTCCTGGTGGGGATGGGGGTTGAGAGGGTGTGGTGGTGATGGGTAGTAGTAATCTGAGTGACTGGCCAGGAGCAAGCTGGTCCCTTCTCCTTAGACTCAGATCCCCTTGCTGTGATTTATGCTTTAGAGCTTTCTTAATCATCTTGGTCCCTGTTATCTTTGCCTGCTTAGAGTAGTTATAATTTTGGCTTCATAATTTATCAGTTGTTTAGCTGTGGCCCTCATTCTAACTTTTCATGCTTTCAGTTTTCTGAGGAGATGTGTCTTAGGAGGCAGATTTTAAATGGCCTCATGTAACCCAGGTTGGCCTCTACTTTCCCTGTGCTGGGATTATAGGTGTGTCAACATGCCCACAGTTTATGCTGTGATGGTGATAGAAGCTCAGGGCTTTTCACATGCTAGACAAGTACTCTTCCCACCTGAATTGCATCCTCAACCCAGAATAAATATGTATATAATATATATTTATATATTATATTTGGCTTTTTGATATAGGATCTCCATGTAACCTCAGCTGACCTGGAACTCACTATGTAGATCAGGCTTGCCTTAATCTTAGAGATCTACCTGCCTCAGCCTCCTGTGTGCTGGACCAAAGGCCTGTGTCACCATGCCTGGCCAAAATAGTTTAACTAAAGAAGAAAGCAAGGTGGATGAGATAGCTCAGCGGGTTAAGGTGCTTGCCACCAAACCTAGCAACCTGAGGTTAATCCTCAGGACCCACATTGTGGAAGGAGAGAATTGACTATCAAAAGTTGTCTACTGAGTACCGAAAGTTGTCTTCTGACCTCCACACATCCTCAGACACACAAAATTAAGAAAAAAAAAAAAAAGGCCAAAAGTTAGAACATGCAAAAATTAAAATTGCACTTTGAGAAATTCTGAAAGTAAAATCTTAATATTATTATCATTACTATTACTGAGACAAGGTCTCATTCTATATCCCAGGCTGGTGTGGAACACACAAGCAGTCCTCCTCCCTCAGCCTCCTGACGTAGTGCTGGGATTACATGTGTCCACTATACATGCAGCTTGGAAGTGAAATCATACAGAAGGAACTATGCCTGGTGTGAAGGTGCATCTTTATAATCCCAGTGCTTGGAAGGTGAGGGCAGGAGGAGTGTAAGTTCAAGTTCAGCCTGGGCTACATAGTGAGACTGTCTCAAAAGAAGGAAGCTGGAAGTGGTGGCATATACCTTTAGCCCCAGAACTTGGGAGGTAGAGGCAGGAGTACCAGGAATTCAGGACCAGAGTGGGCTGCAAGAGACCCTGTCTCAAAAAAAGTTATTTATTTATTTATTTATTTATTTTGTTTGTTTGTTTTTGGTATTTTTGAGACAGGGTCTCCCTGTAGCTGCAGCTGGCCTGGAACTCACTATGTACACTAGGCTAGCCTTGAACTCACAGAGACCTGCCTGCCTCTGCCTCCTGAGTGCTGGGATTAAAGGCCTGTGCCACCACACCCGGCCTCAAAAAATTTTTGAAAAGGAGGCTGGAGAGGTGACTTAGCCGTTGAAAGCACTTGTTGCTCTAGCAGAGGACCCAAGTTCAATTCCCAGCACCCACGTTGGGTGGCACAATTGCCTGTAACTCCAGTTACAGAAGATCTGACACCCTCTTCTAGCCTCCATAGGTACTGCAGACACATGCACATACCCACACACATACATGTACCTATAATTAAAAATAATGAAAATTGGGACTGGGGAGATGGCTCATTGGTTAAGAACACTTGCTGTTCTTCCCGAGGACCCAGGTTCGATTCCCAGCACCCACATGGTGATTAACAACGGTTAGATTACAGTTCCAGGGATTCTGACACCCTCTTCTGGCCTTTGGGGGCTTTGCATGACATGGGTGCACTCACATACATGCAGGTAAAACACTCAAACACATAAAATTTAAAAATATATATAATTTAAAAACTAATAAAAATTTTAATAGCTGGGCATGGTGGCATGCGCCTTTAATCCCAGCACTTGGGAGGCAGAGGCAGGCAGATGTCTGTGAGTTCAAGATAAAAAAAAAAAAAAAAAAAAAAAAAAAAACTAATAAAAATTTTAAAAGAAAAAATAAAACAAA